AGGCCGTGTGGGGTCGTACAGTTGCCTTCGCCCCATCGTACATGTCCTTCATCAGAGTGATCAGGTGTTCTGGCACGTTTCGTTCCCTGAGCGACCTCCATAGCACTGCTCGCGGTAGCCGGTCGAACGCCTTCTCCAGGTCGAGGAAGGCTAGGTAGCAGGGTCGGCGCTTTTCTCGGTACTTTTCCATCACTTGCCTCGCGATGAAGATGGCATCCGTAGTAGATCTTGATCCCGCGGTAGTTGGAGCAGTCCATCGCGTCACCCTTCTGCTTGAAGATGGGGACGATAGTGCTTGTTCTCCAGGCATCCGGCATCCTTCCTTCCGCAGTTACCGTGTTCAGGAAGCGGGTGAGCCATCTTATCCCGTACTCTCCGAGCGCCTTCCATGCCTCGATTGGCACCCCATCTGGACCAACCGCCTTTCCAACCTTCATCTTCCCAGTTCTTGACGAACCTCATCCTCTGTCCAGAGTGCGATGGGACCAGCTGTGCCTCTGCTTGTGAGTGTTTTGTGGGGAACTCCTCGTTCAGAAGCGCTTTGTAGTACTCTTCCCACCTCCTCCGACTTCAGGCTGGCTTCCTCAGGATGGCACCGTTGCTGCTCTTCACGCTCTTCACCACCCTGATGTCTTGGGTAGCCCGATGCCGGGCTTTGGCCAGTCTGAAGACGAACTTCTCTGCGTTTCTGCTTTCCAACTTCTCGTACAAGGCGTCCATTTCCGTGTTCTTCGCCTTGGCGACGGCAGCCTTAGCGAGCCTCTTGCAACTCTTGTAGGCAGCGAGGTCCTCGGGGCTCCGGGTCTTCTGCCAGCGCTTGTATGCTTCCTTCTTCTGCTTCACGACTCGCTGGACCTCCTCGTTCCAGAACCACGCTGCCTTGTCTCCTCTGAATCCACCTCGCGTCTCGCCCAGTACCTCCTTGGCGCATCGTAGGATGATCTCAGCTGCATTGCCCCAAGTCCGCTGCACTGGTCCCTCAGGATCTGGGAGACCAACTTCCATTATCCTTCGCTTGAGGTCACTCTTCTCTGCTCGGTGCAACTTCCACCACCGGATTCTCCTCTCGGTTCTTACCCTTGTCTTCTTGGGGAGGTCTATGGCTATGTCTGCCAGGAGGGGCCTGTGCTGCCAGTCTTCGCCAGGGAGTACCTTGATATCCTTCACAGTTTTGAGGGATGATCTTCTTACCAGCACATGGTCGATTTCCGTCTGTCTCCCTCCACTGCTGTAGGTTACCTTCTGAGTCTCCCTTTTCGCGAAGAACGTGCTGCAGATTGCCAGATCGTGGGCTGCCAGGTCCAGAACCCTCTCTCCCTCAGCGTTCCTCACTCCTATCCTCTACCTCCGTGCACCCTTTCCAGGCCTCTTCTGTCACTGCCGACGTGACCATTCAGATCACCTGCTATGGTCAGGTAATCGCCTTCCGGAATCGATCTGATGG